CACTGCTAAGAAATTTATAAGATGCTACAGGATATTTTAAATGTTTAAAGATCTATCTGGAATGTGCTGTGCCTTAGAGGGTGCCAGCATACCATATGGTTGCCAGTTCGAGTCCAGGCTGCTGCACTTCCCATCAGGCTCTCTGCTGTGGCCTGGAAGAGTGATGGAGGATGGCCCAAATCCTTGGGCCCCTGCGCCCACGTGGGAGATCTAGAGGAGGCTCTTGGCATCTGGCTTCAGATAGGTGCAGCTCTGGCCATTGTGGCTATTTGCAGAGTGAGTGAACTAGCGGATGGAAAACTTCTCTCTCTCTCTGCCTCTGCCTCTCTGTGACTCTGCCTTTCAAATAAATAAATAAATTTTAACAATAAAATAAAATCAACTAGAACATACTATTGAACAAAAGATGTAATTTAACGAAAAAATAAAGGATATATCATGTAGATATGTTGCATAAATGCCTCTCAGGGTCACACCCCCCTGAAATTAGAGGCAGGGCTGCAGTTTCTGCTCATGTCAAAACAGGGTGGGGGGATGGGCACACCTGCCCCAAAGGAATGTGGCAATGGGGGCAGCAGGGGGCTAATGGATATGAATTGGTAACTGGAGTATTTTGGAGAATTTTTAAATTTGTAGAAGCATCTAAATGGGCCTGTCTCTGAAGATTTACAACACAGCTCTAATCTCTTTGTTAGACCACCAGACCGAATTCCTTTTCCTAAATCCTTAAGTTGATGTATAACCTTGCCTAAATGTCAGCTAACTTGTGGACTTGCTGGTAAAAAGTGGGAGCACAGAGATATCCAGTAGCATGCTTTGAAATGGGCACTCCCATGTCCTGTCTCCCCATTTGAAAAATCCTACAATATCATAAAACCCACTAGAAGATTAGATTTTCTGCATTCATTTTGGTGGTATCTTACCTTTGCAGAGATGCGAGAAGTTATCAAATGTGACAAGCGTAGGAAACGAGCCTGTTGCCATGCAAAGTTTGAGAAGTGCAGTGCCCAACTCATGCACTTCTCACTATCTCATAATTGGGTTAGGTAAAAATGAAGCAAATTATCAGTTTCCTTCAATTCGTGTATATAACTGTGTACTTAGGAAAAATGCATGTTTTTTAATCTATTTTCTTAGTAAACACAACTACTATGTATATTCTTATTGTCCCCAAAACACTGCAAAAAATATTCAGACATTAAGAGTACTATCAAAGCAGAAAGTTTGGGAATCTTTTCTTTGGTTTTGTCTGACATGACTTCTAAAAATGAAATATAATAAAAAGACAAATAAGCAAAAACATAGTTAATTATTAGAGAATATTTTCAAAAAATGTTAGGCCAAAATCTAAAGAAGTAATTAAGCTATTTACATTGACCTCAGTTCAATCTACCTAAAATGGAAATAATTACTGTGAACTATTAATTGTATTACTGAGTGACTTCTAATTTTTATACGAACCTATATTTAGAGATAATGAAAGATATTGGTAAAGATTTTAGAAAATGATATCAAGATTACAAAAGTAGGAAGTGGTAGAATTGAGATTTTGTTCATACTGTCTACCTGTTTCATGCACTATTTTACAATCCACATGCTAGGCATATTTGACACTAGAATTTTTTTTTTAAAGATGCTAAATTAGCTTTAATTGCATTTAGTTTTATAATTGAACCTTCTGAAGGAATCCAATGAACTGAAATGAGCCCTGAATGACAAGACCAGGGAATTTAATAATATATTATTTTAGGAACTAACATTAAAAAATATGAGAGCGTTTTTCTAAACAAGAAATGTTTTTGAAGATAATAATTTCCTAATATTTGAAAGATGATCAATTAAAATAAAGACTTATATTAATTACATATGACTGGAGTAGGGAAGACAACCAGGAAGGGGAAGGAGGGCTCAAGATAAAAAGTAATTTATTATAATAAGAGTTTTCCAAAGTGATGAATTGCCCTTGGAAAGTAATGGCACTTTTATCGTTTGAGCATCCAGATCAGAGTTATTGGGTTATATATTGGTTTAATTTTTGATATGATGCCCATGTTAGAAAATATTAAACAAGAGTATCTCAATTTCTTTCATACTCATGACTCTAGACAAAACGACCACTCAGCATAGTCAAGGTTGTCCTGGCTATTAACAAAATTGGAAATATGGTCAAACATTGGGTTCCTGAGTCTCAGATAGATGCTCAATTCTTACTGAGAAGAAACAGGAATCAGAGGATAATCAATTTAAGACAGACACCACTGAAAAACAAACAGATGCAGTTGAGAATGAGGAAAAGTTCAGTTGAACGAAAGGTCAAGAAATAGAGCAAGCGAGTGAACCAGAAAGAAGAGTAAATTAAGATGAAAGAAGGAATTTGGGAGAGGTGTGGGGTAAGGTCTGTGATCTGAATTTTAGTGACAGTAGTTTGGCCCATCTGAGAGCGGATATAAAAATGCTGGTGACTTAGCTAAATATCACACACTGTGATTATAATTCCATTAACTTAATGATGTTAGAAGCCTTTTTTGAATTGTCCCCGTGGCATCAATGTTTGTTATGCTTGAAAACCATGCAAGATGCTGTTTCGGAGAAGCCTTCTTCCCTGTTTAATTGAAGTGAATACCGCTTTCCTGATACAGTGACTCAAGCAGGCAACTATAGAAACAACATTCAAACAGAATTAGTCAAAACAAATGCAATCTGTTCCAACCACTAATAGCTTTATTATCTGGTTTATAAATTTATTTGGGACACAGAATAATAAGGGAAATTATTTTGGTTGAATGATCCAAGCAATAATAAGAAAGATGCCTGTTTCTTCTAACTATGCATTGCCTGAGAGAAATTGACCAATGGTTTTAGCAAGGATTGAATATTTTTTCTTCCCCAAGAATACCTCCTGTTGAGGCATTCTTGAATAAAGCAGCAGGAGATGCCTACAGTCTCAGGCCTTGTAATAGATTTTAGGGGACAGAGATGCCCCATTGAGAATCAGATAAACCGGCTCCCAATCATCTTGCCTTAGAAGCAATCCTGTTAACAATAGCAGGGGGGTCTTGGTGGGTGTTGAGGGCTGTCCAGAGAAAGCTTGCCCAGAGCAAGACTAGAGGAGAAGTGATGTGGAGAGAAGTAGAAAAAGAAATCTAACTTGTGCTTATGATAATTTGCATTTTCTGAAGTCATCTCTCCCTGTTGTGTAATTAAATGCTGAGAGCAGTAAATGAGAGAAGATTCTTTAACATAACAGAACACAGTGAGAAGCCCTTTCACCATACTGTCCCCACTTGCCTGTTGCACTCAAAGTCAAATAACGTTACCTGAGACACGGCAATAATTTGATGAGCCAGCACAACTCTACCTGAGTGGATTGCTGTGGTCATCAGGTCTACTCTGCTGCTTGCAATTAAAAATTAGCCATGGCATTTTCAAAAAGGAATGTAGCAATTCCTGTGCAGCTTCTCCTCTGCTTGACAATATGTCGAAAGAGCATCTGCCTTGTCAAGTTGAGACTGTTACACACAACGATCCACTTCTGCGTGCAATGTGCAAACCTGGGTCATTAACACACCTGCCAGAAAAGCAGGGCAGAAGGGGGGAAACCCTTCATCTTGGTAAACTCATTTAAGACATGGAGGCTCCCAGGGCTGTCCTTTGAACACCCCAATTACCTCTTCTTGCCCTTACAAACAAGTGGTGTGAATTTTAATCAGCTAGAATGCAATCAGGACTGAAATAAATAGTGTTATTAAATCATTTTTACAGAGAAAAGCTGCTCATACACCTATACTGTAAATATCTCTGGTTTGCACAAGGGTGGAATGCCCTTGCTCTGGACTGAAACAAACAATGTTTTATTTTTGTTTCAACCTCTGTTGACTTTCCCGTGCATTCTTTTCCCCTAGTATGCCAGAGCCTTGGTTCTGAGAATAATTAGCAACACCCACTGGTGATAACAGGGCCACAGCCACCTAACAGCGATATCTTGCAGGCGCCAGCTGTGCTTCAGTATTTATTTATTAAGATCACAATATTTACACAGTATGAACTCGTTGAGATGGTAGGGGATTGAGCAATGCTCCAGCAGCTAAATTTCATCTGTATTTTTAAATGGAGATGAAAAAACCTTCCAGGGTGTGAACTGTTTATTTCTCCAGATAGAAAATTCAAGCTTCTAATTCCAGCCCAGTCCTATTTTGCTGGCGGTGTTCTGGGTAGACCCAGGAGAAGCTTTGCAGCCGTGACCTGCAGTGGCGGCTGCAATGAAGTCAGTTTGTCCAACACACAGCTGAAGCTTAAGACTGCAGCAGATGCATGAAATGACGCAGCAGAGAAATCAGACAGCAGGTTTTCAATGCCTGGTAACTCATTCAACCCAGAGCTGAGACTGAACTACCTAAACAGTTGCTCAAACTCTCTACTTTGCTTGCATTATTTTATGGTTTCATTTGCTCTTCCATAAGGACTTACTGTGGTAGAAAGTAATATGATCTGATGTTCATCTACGAAGTGAGTTGCTGTTAAAAAGAAAGTTTTGATGTAGATAGGCAATTTTAAGACTTAAATTAGAAATATGTTAAGAGTAGTATTTTTATGGTACAAAGAAATAAATAATTGGAGCAAAGGGTACATATTTGTGCTTAAAGTTTGTCAACTGAAATAATCACAATCAGCCTGCAATGACTAAAAGAAGAGATTTATTACAAGAAAATATCTACAGACTGGGGAGAAACAGTTGGCAGTGCAAAGCAAAAACACATTCCAAGGTACAAAACACAGGGGCTATCTTTTAAAGAGAGAGTGCCCTCCTAACTACTTACTCTGGTCCACTTAACACCAATCAGGAATTCATGCTTCTTCTAGTCTATTTGGCTACTCTGAGTTTGATTTGTTGACTACAGATTGGAACTTCCTCCGAGACTGTTTATCTGGGCAGTTGAGATAGGAATATGCCTGACAAGGGCCTCTCCATGTTTTTTTCCAGAAGCGTGGTGTGTTATCTCTCATCAGCAAATGGTCTCTTCAGACCCATTTTGAATTTTAGAACCATTTTGCTACTCAGGATACATCCTGAAATTCAGTTTTCCCCACGGTTTACAAGATCTTCAAAGAAGAGAAAGCTCTACATAAAAACAAATGAATATATATTTATTATTCCTCCAGTTAAGAGAGATCTTCCATCCGCTGTTCACTCCGCAAATGTCTGCACGAGCCAGGGCTGGGCTAAGCTGAAGCCGGGGGTCCAAAACTCCCTCTGGATCTCCCATGTAGGTGAGCCACAAGTCTTTGAGCCATCATCTATGGCCACTCAGGATGCATTAGGAGGAAGCTGGATTGGAAGCAGAGTAACCAGGATGCATGTATTCTGATATTAGATATAGGCATTCCAAGTTGAAAGTTGAATCAGCTGTTCCAAATGTCCACCCTATTTCTACTATTAAAACAAAAATAGTGGTCATTAATGGGCCATAGGACATTGCCAGCATGGCAAATGAAATAAGCCAGGCACAAAAAGACATGTCTTCATTTGTATTTGCAATTTAAGAAAACTAACTGCTTAAAATCAGAAAATAGAATGGTAGATTGAGAGAGGTATTGGGTAGAGAGGGGATATTAGGAAGAAGGGTGAGAATGGCAGATTTTGATCAAAGGGTACAAACTTTCCATTATGCATGGTGAAAGATCCTGAAAAGCTAATACAGTATGATTTATGATCCCATAGGGCGTAATTGAACTTTTCTAGCAAGGTAGATCTTGGATTTTCTCACTACTGAAAAAAATGTAGCAACTATAAAAGGGGATGAATATGTTAATTAACATGATAATGGTAAGCATTTCCCAATATACATATTATCAAAATACTGTGTTGCATAGCTTAAATATATACAATTTTCATTTATCAATGACTCATAAATAAAATTCAGGGAAAAGGAAATCATGATGGAATGGGAGGAATTTGGATTGATCTTTTAGTATGATAGGTGACTACAAAGAATTCACAAAGACTTTCTGCATTCTTTTGTCACATTATGACTATATAGGGAGACATATTTTTCACCAAGTTCTATAGTTTTAAAATCATTGTCGCAGGTGCCAACATTATAGCATAGCAGATTAAGCTGCTGTTATCCCATCATCCCCTATCCAAGTACTATTTGAGTACCAGCTGCTCCCTTTCCCATCCAGCTTCTTGTTAATGTGTGTAGGTAAACCGTGGATAATGGTCTGAGTACTTGGTGAAAGGCCATCACAAAACACACCAAACACTGGAGTAAGGGAGAAGGTTTACTGTTGGTTGGGGAAAATCTGACAGACTGCCTCCCGATGCACAAGAGAACAGCAGCCTGTATTAGCAGAACAGCTCTAATATAGCTTTGCAGAAGTAAGAAGTGGGAGCAGTGAATCCCGTTAGACTGACGCTTGTGGTTGGGCCATTTGGTCACCTGACTTCTAGTAAGCCAGTCTGGGCTGAAGATCAAAGCTTATTGTACAAAATAGCCATGGGGCCACATCCTAAAATGGCGCCCCAGATATGACCGTACTATTTTATTAACACTTGGAACCTTCACTCATGTGAAAGACTTGGATGGAGTACCTGGCTCCTGGCTGTGTCCTGGTTCAACCCTGGCCCTGGTTATAGTGGCCATTTGATTCAACCAATGAATGGATGATCTCACTCTCCGTCTCTCCCTCTCTCTCTGTTACTCTGCTTTTCAAATAAATAAAATGTTTAAAGAATAAATAGTTTAATATTTTTAAAGTATTTTGAGTATGAAGGGTTAATGTATTAGTCTTCAAGATAATAAAAATATTAAAAATTGGATACATGATATATGTGATCAATATTCAAGAAAACAGTCTCTTCAAAACTGGACTTTTGGCAAGTAATAATTATGATATTCTTGCCATCTAAAATAATGCAGCTAATTATTATGCCATATATCTAATTATAAATATATAATATATCATAAAACCATATATTGTAAGGGTAAAGGAAATTTCCACTCTCTGAAGTTTTCCAGTAAATGAATCTGCTGAAACAAATTAACAATAGACAGATTAACGCCAAAAAAGGAATCCAAATTCATTATGCATATAAGGGCATCATGTGAATGTGAGTGCCCAATAACTGAATGAGATTTAGGAACTTATGTACTTTATTTCTGGGGGAGAGGGAAGTGGAAACTGTATACAATCTTAGAGAAAAAATATGATTTTTAAAGGGCATGATTGAGTCTGAAGAATATGCAGTAGCCAGAGACAAAGTTTACCTGAGCTCTGATGTGTTGTCAACCCTATGTCTCTTGCCTGTGAGTTCATGTTAACTCTTTGATGAGATTGTAAGAGAGTTGCCTAAAACAGCTGTATCCCTTCTGGAGGCACTTTTCCTCAGTCAGATAAGAGAGCTTCGACCTTCAAGAGTGAAAGATAGAGACATAGGGGCAGAAAGGCTTGCATCTATTTTAAGAAGGATTTATCAGACAATAATGTAACACAAGGCCATGAATTATAAAATTATTCCCAAGACCTGGTTATTTTCATGCCATCCTTAGCCTCTTTAAAAATTAAAACAAGGCAATGTGGCACTTCAGCTGACATTTAATAATGAGTTGTCCATATCGCTTTATCTTTCATCAGGCTTATTGCTTTTATATTATTATTAAAATATTTCAGAATGTTCTAACATGAATAAGAAATCCAATTGTATAAATTTATCTTTCATTTTCAAAAATAACCATATCAGAACATTCCATTTTTGGTAGTTATTAGTGAAAGTAAAATATATGTACAGGAAGCAAACAGAAAATCATCACATACATTGTTGATTTTCTGCATAATCTCTGTACCTAGACCTCGATCAGGAATAGATAGTACCAAAACTCCTCTTGGACCCTCTTATGCATTGCCCATCCCTCCAAGGTAACCATTGTTTTGATGTCTAAAGTCATAGATCAGCTTGGAAAATAATTAAATATTCAAAAGTACATAGATCATAACATTAATTTCTGATTTAATGTTTATATTCCGAACATTAATGCATAAAAATGATTAAGAGGAACAAGCAAAACAACTTTGAATTTTAAGTGGAAGACCATACATGCATCCACATAGCAACTCATGACAGGGAAAATTGCTGGGTTTATATTTGGAAGAAAAAAAAATCCTGTTCTATCTTCACTTGGCTACAGGCAAAATCAGCATCTGGGACTTGACTACTACTTCAGACACTGATGCTACATTTTAGGTTACCACCAAGTCATTTAAATCAAAAGTTACCTTGCTGTAAGAGTTCTTTAATCTACATAGAACAAATAGATGATAATCTAAACACCTGCTAAAGCTAACAGCAGCTTGGTCCTTGTGGTTTATTTCTTAGTTTTTTAGTTTTGTTTGTTTGTTTTGGTTTCAAAAGAATGATCAATATTACACACCACATTTTAATTCTCAAAAGCAGACAGATTTTTTATGTTAATTGATCATATTCTCAAAAGTTAATTAAGAGAAACATTTTTACATTTTACATGTAGATCAATCTGATGCTGTTTTAAGGAAAATGGTAAAATTTATGAATAAAGGAGTACATGGAGCAATAGAAATATGAATAGATTATGTAGAAAGAATAATTCATCTATACTGATATGTAAGATAAGTGGAAGATTTCATGTAATTCTGTGATTAGAGTCTGTATCTTTGTGTACTATTAGATATTTAGCTATCGCCATTATTGAATGTCTTATTGTACTAGATATTGAATCTACTCACTAATGAAGCAACACATCACTGACACTTTCTAATGGAAGCATGGAAATGTTAAATTATGTAAAAATCAATATATAGCCACAGAAGATACAACTTGAGGGACTACTTTTTCTATATACAACTTCCAGATTAAAATACTCAAAATGTATCCATCTTTTTGCGGCATATAACAGAGTGGTCCTAAGAATTATGAATATTGAGAAACTTCAGGATAATTTTGAAGCACTTAACATTTCTGATACTCATTATTTCAATATTCATATACACTAACACATCAACTAGAAAATTATTTTAGGTGGAGTATATATAAAATTATAACAGCAAACAAAATTATAAAAATGGTTCAGCATTACAGATTTTTAAGTTTTTTCTTAATCTACCTGCATGTTTGATCTTTTTATTGCTAAAAGGAAATACATGAAACAGGCTAACTATATAAGAAAAGAATCTTATTTAGCTTACATTTTCAGGGGTTCAAGGGACAGAAATAATTAGTTCAGTTCTGGTGGGGATCCTTCCAGCTGCATCACTTTATTGTCGGAATATGTGTGGGAGGAAGCAACACGTTGCCAAACAGGAAGTCAGAAAAACTGTGTGGGGACAGAGTCAGGCTTTTGTAACAAGCCAAATCTCATTTCCTTGCCAATGACACACCCCACTGACCTAAGTACCTCCTACAAGGCCCACTTTTTTAAGTGTCCTTTGACCTCAACCCTCTATATTGGGGACCAAGCCTATAACACAAGAACATTCGGAGGATAAATCAAATCAAAATCATGGAACAAATTGCATCTCTTTCTAATCTTTTTTTTCCCTTTATTTCATCAACCATTTGTCCAAGATTAATGATTATTCACAGTCTCTGACAAAATTTAATACATATGGGGCCAGTGCTATAGCCTAGAAGTTCAAGCCTCCACCTGCAGTGCCAGCACCCCATACATATGGGCAACGGTTTGACTTCCAGCTGTTCCACTTCCAGTCCAGGACACTGCACCCACCTGGGAAACCAGAAAGAAGCTCCTGTCTCCTGGCTTTGGTCTGACCCAGCCCTGGTCATTGTGGCCATTGGGGAGTGAACCAGCAGAAGACTGATTCTCTCTCTCTCTCTCTCCATTAAAAAAAATAATACATATGTTCAGAAGAGGGGAGGGTTGAAAATAATACTGGAGAGATGGAATAGGACAAAGTAAGGGTGATGACTTAACTGTTAGGTGTCATTGATTGGCTACATTAGTTCAGTTTTGAGATAATACAAAGTACTAGTTTTCCAAAAATGCATGCTATATAATACAATTACAACACTTTTATTTTCTTGCCAAATAATAAATTATAATAAATTTCTCACATATTATCTCAAGTTCTGATTTTTTATTTTCTTAACTTATTTTTGTACTGACATAGTACATAATGATGATCAATATATTAAGTTGGCTATGATAAACATAGCCCAGATAGCTGGTTAAAGATTATTTTTGAGTGTGATGGTGAGGATGTTCCCAAAAGAGAATAGCATTTCAATCTGTAAAGTTAAAAGGGATTGATTTCACAAATGTGAGCAGCATACAATCTATTGAGGGTCCAACTGAACACAAAGGCAGAGGAGGGACAAACGTACTCTCTTCTTTGAGCTGTGACAGTCCTCTTCTCCTGTCCTTAGACACTGGCACTCCCAATGCTTGGCCCTTCAGATCTGGAATAGGAGTTACAACAGTGACCTCCACACATCGCCAGTGGTAATTAGGGCCTTGGTCTTATTGTGGGATTTAATCCATTAGCTTCCCTCACCTTAGGACTTGAGATTGAGTCTGAATTATGTCACAGGCTTTACCAATTTCTAGCCAGCATGTGGAAGGCCATGGAACTTCTTGGCCTCCCTAACTGTAGGAAACTATTCCTATAGTATATCCAGATATCTGTCTGCCCATCTATGGGAGGAGGTTATCTGTATATATCATCTATACATTTAAGACATTGGCTCAGTTCCTTGAAGAATCCCCAGTAAATACATACAGAGTAAATGAAACGATGACTTTAACTATACTCAAAATATTGGAAACAATATGTTTTACTCTAAATCGTGAAAGCCAATCTTTCTGGTTCCTACTCTATCCATACTTAAATATATTATATATTAAAATTATATATTATTGCAAATAATAAATTTATAAAAATTCTTCTAAATTTACAAAATTCAGATTTCGTAGAATCCATTGGAGTTAAAGTATCCAATACATTTATTTCAGTGTAATTGCAGACCAATGGTTTATTTCAATCTAGTTTTCTGCCATTTTGCTTTTACAATGGATTCTTTCACTTGTCCTAGAAGGATGAACCAGATGAGCTTGCTTCTCCTTCTAATCTGGAACTTACAGCAAGACGTTTAGTCAGTTCCCTTGGCCTTACTTTCACTGATAGTGGAATTTAATTCTGTGTCAAATATGGTGGTATGTGTGATCTCAAAATAATTTTTGTTTTTTTTTGGGGGGTGAAGATGGACATCTATCCAAGTCTGTTGCAGTTGTCAACAAAACACTGAATCTGAGATTTGGGGCCAGGTTCGTTTTTTAGCAGCTAAATATTGCTTGTCTTTGAATAATTTTCAACATTTCCCTTATTCATCTACCACTTCCTCCTTCCTCTCTCTCTCTCTAGAGATGAAGAACATTAGAACTTACTTCTCAGAGTATTTTTAAAGTAGGCACTTTTCATTTTCTTCTGTCCATATTCATTATAGTCTATAGTCCATTTAAGATGCCATCATTTTCACAAACATGTATGTCTGATTCTAAGCAAAATAATCATCCATGCTTCCTTCCTTAGAAAAGGAATTACAATGTAAAATCTGAGTCAATTAAATAATAGTGGGAATTCATAGTTGCTTACATATATAAAACAGAGAGTGAAACAGATCAAACCCTTGACCCATAGGATTTTTATTCTACTGCTAAATAACTGGAAATATTTTCCACACCAACCAGTTCTCCAACTCTCAACAGGTATCAACTGAGTGCCTACAAATTTAACTCAATTCCTAAATTATCCAGCCTTAGATAGACCCACAAATAAAGTGTTCAGTCCCATAAAAATGTCCCCTATTTTTTATGTAGGTTGCAAGGAGTAGGTCCCCGTGTTACCCATAAATTTCTTTAATTTATCTAAAATTCAAGGGTCCCAGGACCCCTGTTCAGTTTCAATAATTTGATAGAATACCTCACCGGACTCAGACAACGGTTTCCTATCACTGGTTCATTATAACAGACATTTAAAGAAACACCTAGTGTGACATTCTGAAAGGTCCCAAACACAGGGACTTCTATTAGTGTGTTTGTGGTGTGCTGCCATGCCAGAACACAGGTGCATTCCTGTTCACTAACACAGAAGTTCTCTAAACCCCATTAATTAGGTTTTTCATGGAGGTTTGATTACGTATGCAAAATTGATCTAATAATTGGCTTTTGGTGATTAAGTCAATCTATAGCCCCTCTCCCCTTCCTGGAGGTTGGGAAATGGGGCTGAATGTTCCAACCCTTTAATTACATGGTTGCTTCCCTTGACAATGAGCCTTTCTCAATCCTTAGGGATTTTATAAAAGTAACCTCATTAACATAAACTAAGGTATTGTTGAAAGAGGCTTATTATGACCTAAATAC